GGCGGGGGCCGCCGGGCCGCCGGGCCCGTCTCAGCGGGAGCCCAGCTGCGGAGCCGCACGGGGTGCGGGCTGCCTGGAGGTTTTGGGGCGCTGCCGACGTCGGCCAGCGCTCCCGGTTACGAGATCAAAAGCCAAAAAAAGTCACGCTTGGGTTGGTTGGGGGTTTTTACGAGGGGAGTCTCAGGGAACAAAGGTCCGAGGGGGACGTTTTCTGCTGTGTCGCCGCGCGCTCAGGCTGGCAATAACGGTGTGCTTGCTTCTGTGCCTTTCTCCTGTCTGTCCCGTTTGTGGCAGCCCGGTAGTTTCAGCGATCTGTTCGAGGCAGGAACCGGTGTGAACGCACCTGCAGATGCCTTTGGTCAGTCTCCAGCTCACCTGGCTGCTTGTGGCGGGGGGGGGCTTTTCCTACTTTGGCAACTACAGACAGGAGCGAATTTGAACCAACAGGTAAAAACATGGAAGTTTTGTTTGTCTCACTTCTAATCTAGCATGTCAGTAAACGCAATTAATTTTATTTACTTTTTCTTTATCTAAGAGAGGCTTTTTACACACAGTTGTATTACATGAGGTACCTGGGGTTGCTTGTTTTACAGTAACTTTATTCTAGCATGAACCAGAAATCCTGTCTATATAGTGTTAGCAATTTCATTTCCTATGTATAAGGTGATTTTCACACTTAAAAAGAACTTAATTCTTTATACAAATGAGTATTCCTTTTTCCTCTGAAATTTGGCCCCTACTTCCAGTAAACATCAGGATTCTTCCTCTAGCTGCAGTTTCATTTGCTTATACCTCTGAGCTGGTAGGAGCAAGCTGTTGGTCACAGCAAGCCCTGAACAGTGCTGAAAGATGCTGTTTTATCAGTGTAGACGGTGTTCTGTGTAAATAATCTCTTAGAAGGTAAAGGTTAAACAACAAGTAGCATATAGGACAGTATTTCTACTTTGCTGTGATGAATACACAAAACATTTAATAGCAGATACCAAGTACACTTCACTAGCTGTATTCCTTTAATCTCTGTCTCAACTCACAACAGACTGGTATACAGAGTAACACGCCGTGTACAGTCACGTTGGAGAACAATATAGCTTCATCCCATTCCCCTTCCTTCAAATGACTGCTGTATATAAACTGTGTTTTTAGGATTGCCTTGGAGAAGCCCCGATTCATAAAGCAGCAAAAGTTGGGAGTTTGGAATGTCTTGCTCTGCTTGTTGCTGGCGATGCCAAAATTGAGTAAGTTGAGCTACATTTAGTCATTTTAGTAACAAAAGATATGTGCGTTTTACACACTTTTTCTTGTTCAGAGTGTGCGTGCTAAGACTGCCCATACAGCATGACTGTAGCCATAACAGTGTATTAAGAACTGCCATAACCACCAAAGCAGCATGGACCACGTAAAGACCCCTATAGTACCCGCTGAGAGAACATTCCTGAGCACAAGTTCTCCTTGTTAGTGTTCCATTCTGACTAACGCTGTACTCATCTTCCTCCTGCCTTTCTGGTAGGCTAAGCCAGTCGTAGTCTGATGACAACTTTATTTTAAAGTAGTTATTCCTTGTTGCATTTAATACCAGCCTGCTGTATGAGTAGAGCCCCATGCTGTCCTTTGACAAACCTTTTTGGTATTGAGTCTCTGTATTTATTTTTATACCTCTGTCTAAAGTTACCACTTAATTAACCTTGATCACTGCTTGCTCATAAGATATATTCCAGTGTAATTGAATGGTCATTGTTAATTCCAGCTTGTGCAACAACAGCGGACAAACGGCAGCAGACCTCGCACTGGCATACGGCTTTCTGGAATGTGCCAAGTTCCTCACAACCATTCAGCACACGCAGACAATGAAACTGAGGGGACAGTCTGGCTACTCACTAAGTGACAAACGTGGCTTGCTGAGAGAGGAGCCAGGTGCACAGAAACAAGAACCTGAAACCAGCAGATCCATAAGCAGGAAGAGGAGAAGATCAGATGGTGTGTAACAGTGTTGGTTTACTACAAGGCAGAATACTTTTATTTATCTTTTTTAAATGCTTTTAGCATTTAAGTAAATAAATTTGGTGTTAGATACGTAGCAGTTGGATGTAGAAGGCCGCTAGTGGAGCAACTTGCATAGGTATTTAAGGTTATGGTCTTAGCGAAAATGGATAGCGCATGGGGAATGCTACTGAAAAGGCTGCTTCAACATGGGAAAAAAGAAAAAGAGCAGGTATTTTTACTGATGTCCTGATGGAGTAGCTACAGACTTGTTCTTGTTTGTTCATATAACAGATCTCATCTCCTGAGAGCTGGCAGAAGAAAGAGCTTGTAATCCCAAAATGAAATCAAGGGGAATCTGAAGTCTGAAGAAACACGACTGGACTATGCATGGAGCAGGCAGACGTGTACGCTAGTACATTGTCTCCTTCTGAGAAGGAGGAAAGCAAGTTTATTTTTACTTCTTACAGAAGACTCCTGTGTTTTGTTTTTGGTGTGGGTTTGTTCCCCCCCCTGTTGTCCCCCCCCCCCCCCCCCAAATAGTTGTATTCATACAGCTATAAATAAATGAGCATGTAACAGTTAATTCTCTCGCATTTTTTTTCAGTGTAAATATGAGAACAAAGTTCATAAAATTCAATACATATAGCCATTTTCCTCCTGCTCCTTTCCCAAAATGCTGTTATCAACAAGTACCAGCAGCAAATGATGGCTTTGGGCAGGCTCAGAGTGCACAAGACAGCTAGCTGTATGGAACCTGAAAGGTAGAGGACAGTTCATCTTCTTGGCAAGGAAGAATTCCATAAAATAAAAGGATTGGGCATTTAGTCTGTAAAGATTTTAGCATAACAAAAAATGCTGTTTGTCCTAGCCAAAAGAGAGTATTAGTTACCTAATAAATGTATTTGAAGAAATACAGTTCACAGCGGATAACTCTCATTTTCAGAGGTTTCATGAAAAAAAAAATTCTTCAATTACTCAAGCAATGTTTCTATTTCAACTGGGTTTTGATTGACTTAAAGCATTATTCTGATAAATAACAAGACAGTTGTATCTGGATCAGCTAGTATTCTGGCTAAGCACGTCCCAGCATCAGAGTGGAGTTTAAATAGTTTTTGGTCGCTTAGGTAGGCACAGATTGTAATAGGCATCCTTGTTCCAAAACTCCGAGCCCTTCCATCCACACCAGCCCTGTCCAAGAAAAAGCAAGATAGTGTTAAATCTACTATGAACTCGGTTTTTCGTATCTACTCCTATCAGATCTATTCCATGTTACTAATTTTAATCTAAGCTGTATGCAATCTTTTCAAATACCTACAGAAAGCAGTGACAACACAGTTTTCTGCGTGTCTGGAAACACGTTAACGGAAAACACTTCACACAGAGCCTCTCCCGCCCCACCCCAGCTCTGTTCCTAAAAAGTAGCATCTCTTCCCTCCCCCTTGCCACTACCTTCTGCTGCTAGAGATAGACTAATATTATTCTGAAACTCTTATCATTCTCAGCTTCCATTTCTCTTGTCTCAAATCCTTGCCTTCTTTGGTCACAGTTGGTATAGCACATAATTATAGGAGGTGTTTTGGAAGAAAAGAGCTACAAACTTACAGTCCACCTCAGTTCCTCCCCCTCCCCTGGCACTTCTGATGAGGACAGGGGGTTCTGCATCCCCCCCCC